GCTTTAATTACAGGGGTTTGATATCCCCACCCCCTTAGTCATTTCTCACCTCCTCCCCCTCACATCTTTTCCTCACTCACACTCTTACATTCACCAAATTTTTTAAAAATTTAATTTTAAATTTACATTTTATATCCTTGTAATTAATTAATTTATTTATTTTATATCATTTTCTTTTAAATTTTTTATTTTACACCCTTATCAAATTAACACATATAATCGTATATCAATTAAAACATATTTAAAAAATACATTTTTATTTTAACAATTTACACCATTATAATCGTCTCGTTAATACCTTCAAAATGAGACCAATATTGAATAGTTTTTGACTTAATTATATTATTATAATACTATAAAAAATATTTTTAATATACATAATTTATTTTTTTAATTTTCGTTTTACACTATTATCACGTTGAAAAACATAAATTTATATTAACTAAAATTAGATCTAACAATGAAATTAACATCTTAGGAAGCATTTTCGTACCCTTTATTCATCTTGTTCATCTTACATACTCATTTTTTAATATACTTTTTATTTTAGCAAATTGCACCATTAAAATCGTCTCGTCAATCTCTTCGAAATGAACATAATAATGAATATTATTTGATTTAATTATATTATTATAATCRAATTTTCAATAACGGGGCGGGGATCGGGGGATTTTAACGGGGACGGGGCGAGGATCGGAGACGAATTCGGGGATTTTAACGGGGACGGGCACCGTCCCGGCCCGATATGTATATATATATATATATATATATATATTAACATATTGTAATTTTTTCCATATTGTTTTCGGGTTCGGGTTCGGTTATAACCGACGGTGAAAAAGAGAATTTTTACCCTTAATCGGGGAAACCGTGGGGACCCGATGGGGATCCCCGATAAGATCCCTGACGGGGATTCGGGATGGTTACTGGGACGGTTTTAGCTATAGGTTTCGGGGACAAGGATACCAATACCTGGCCTGAACCCGGCCCGTCGCCATTCCTATTAAAAATATGTTTAGATTTTAATAAGTTACATCATCGTAATCGTCTTGTCAATAACTTCAAAATGATATTGAACATCGTTTTATTTAATTATGGAACTGTAATTATATAAATATCATAAGGGTATAAAATAAAAATAAAGAAGTAAATAAATATAATAAATTTTTATAAAGATATAAAGTATAAATATTGAAAAAAATTCATATACAAATATATA